CTTCACCATAAAGTAATATGAAATATAAAAACATATGATATACATAGAATTTTAAATAAAATAAATCTGCTAAATTAAATAAATTCTGTTTTATAAACAGCAAATCGTTACATTTACATATTCTTGTATCTTTAAGGCGCTGAACATTAAACACATGTATATAAATAACATTTAATATAATTTTTAACAAAAACTTCTCATAATACTATTGTGTGTATTTAATAAATTAATTGGCTATTTTGTATTAAAAAAATTAAGTGCAATAAGACAAGATTTCAAGCTTATTTATTTTAATGAAATCTAAGATTTTCCCTATTGCCTAGTACTCGTTTAAATGAAACTAATAGTTTCGGATTTACTACGAGATTTTGGATTATAAACTACATATTCGCGACGTTTCGGCTACTTTACAGCAATAGACGAAGTGTAGTTTAAAGTCAAAAATAAAAAATCGGTTACTAAATCCTTTTATTAATACATTAGTTTCACTCATTTATTTTAGATTTTTTCTTATTACCTACTATATATACGTACATTTACAATATACTAATACTGTCACCAATAAATTTAAAATATGATAATTTACTTGTATTTAATAAAAATACAAATGAAATATGTTTCAAAGAGACTAACTACTTTTTTTTATTTATTCAAAGAAATTAGTCTCCATTGACGATACATTAACTCTAATAATATAATAATTTGATATATTTAAATCATTCAAGGAAATAAACATGTGATCGTTTTAGTTTCATGAGAAGACCAGGTTATATTGAGAGTATTATAATTATACCAGCTGCCGTATTTTAATCTCAAGGAGCGGATGTTACGTGTAAATCAAACGATTTGTCTCTAAAATTAAAACTATAAGTTATTCTTGTATAAAAATATCTTTTTGTTTTACAAAAATGTATTCGATAGTTATTGCCTAAAAAAGTTTTCAAAGCTAACTGTAACATTTCATTCTGCTAGGTGTAATTTGAAATTGCTTTAACTTAATAAAAAGGTGAATTAAAATTTGAAAAACTTCTGTTACGATAAATATTTTTTAATATAGATTTTGAATGTTTTGAAAAATAATAAGATTTTTTTATTGATAAATACGAAACAACGTTGTAATTCATTAAAATACATATATGTTTTTTTACATTCAATATACAACATTCAATAATTTGTTGTAACAAAAAAAATTATATATATAGTATTTGACTGTATACATATACATATGTTTCATTCACGTGTTTGCAGATAACAAAGTCCTTTATAAACCGATTGCAATGATGGGGAGGAAACCAGGATCTGATAATGATATACTAGAGAATATCAGGAAAAACTTGGATCCTGGATAAATAAAATATAAAATAAAATACTAGCTGCACTTAATAATCTTTTCGATCTCTGGATCCCAAACTAGTCCTATATAAAACTTTTATATTCATCATTTGGTAATGTTTTTTTTCTAGTACTTCACCAAGACGGAGATTGTTTTTTAAGATGCTGAGCTACCTATCATATAGTAAGTAGTTCATATTTTCCATAACAAAAAGCATTTCCTTCAAAGAATACTTGCTGGTATATTTACATGAGCATTAAGTCAAAGTCACCAATTTCATTTAGAACAGACTTGATTTTAATATCTATCCAATATAAAGGATAGTATTAAAAGTATTCGACCATTTGCGACATAAAAGCTAGCAATTCTATCATAGATCAAATATAAAAGTATAATCTATAAGAGATAAATTATAATATAAACAATTATTTATTAATTATAATAAATTTGTAACTTCATATTTTTTTGCAATGAAACATATAGGTACGTAGATAACTGTCTTAAATGGCGTCACAAATTTTAAAATAAAACTATACAAATTGGAGAAATAAAATAGATTAATTGTGATTCTTATCTTTTTTATATTTACTTCATTTATTTCTTCCTCAGGTAATATGGATATGGATACATTTTGAAGATGGTACTTAAAAATACAAAAGAAAAAATTCAAAAAGCAACATGGACAAAATCGATGGTCTCCAATTATATACGATATATTCTTGTATATGCTATCTCTATTAAAGCTTTTTCAGCTCACAAAATATAAATGATGTCAGTATTCAAAGCCAGGGGACAATTTTCCCGTGAAAGGGTTTCCGAATTGGCATTTTCACAAAAGCACTGTCCATGCGTGAACATCAATTGAACCATTCGGAACATCATTGGAACTTATAAAGCTTAGTTTACATTTTATTTTATTTAAAGTTATTATAAAATCAATAAATCTTGCAACAATACTTATTGTAACAAACAAAAGTTTTCTTATGATATATAGAAATATATTTCACGATTAATTTGTATAAAATATTTAAGTAAACAAACCTATAAATCTTACAGGAGATTTCAAACCAATTATTTTCACTTACAAATTACCATTATGATTTTCAAAACATAGAGTATAATTTCAAATTAAGTTCGTCATTTTCGTGAATCAAAATCTTCACGAAACATCTCGTATAATCTCCATTGATACAAACGTCATCAAGATAAGATTAATTTAATAAACATTGTGATCTAGCTTTACCAAGGTCATACACGGAAACTGCGTGAGAAAGTCATTTAACGCTCCATTACAGAATTCATGACCTAAACCTACCAAATCATTGAACCCACTATGTACAGAATAACATACAATATATATCATATGTATTTGAACTAAAACAAAAAAGTATTTTATGTAAAGATGTGCTAACTTAATAATAAGTATAAAATTTCATTTTATAGACCTCAAATATATTATTCATTATCCTCATTGTCTTTGGCTCTAGCTTCAACTTTCTAATATGCTTTTTTGGGTAAATTGTCAGCTACCATATATTAAATTTCGGATTTACTATGCGTTTTTCATTATTTTAACTGACTCTCGACGTTTCATTTACTTTCCAGCAACCGTGATCACGGGCAGACAAGATGAAAAATCTTCTATAATATAATAAAAACGGGTAGTAAATCTGAAAGTATTAGTTTTATTTAAATGGATACTCTAGAAAGTTTCAGATATCATTAATATAATTTTGATTATTGTATTTACAAAATTGTAAGTTATTAACAAAATTTATTCATAATGCCATCAAACTAATATGAATTGTAGAGATTATTGTTTATCTTATTCTTTTAAAGTTTAAAGTTTTTATTAAGTTAATCCAGCGCAAGTTTACATAACAGCTAACTATCATAAACTTTAAATAATGTTTTTAAAGTTTTATTTCTCTAACAATAAAACATTACCTAAGAACTACAGTCAATAGAATTCATTCTTCTACACTTTAATTAATCAGATAAAAAAAGTTAATAATATGTGTATTTTCATCAACTTCAATTTATTTTCAATTATTATTACTATGATGGAAAATATAATAGATTTTTCCAAGGAAACAATCCGTAAGGTTAAGGGTTATATGGAGCCTTAACAAACATCACGTAGTTACATTCACATCACACGTACACAATGAAAATGTTTTTTAAACAATATTTACTTTTAACAATGGTTTATCCGACGTTTACATAGTTCTTACATGTCAAGGATAGACCGGCCAGTTAGCTAGATATTTTATAACGAAAAACAATCTTAACCCTTTAATATAAAGTCCATATTCATATGACACATCCACATGACGACATTACTTATTGCCCAAGCGTTATTTCAGTACGTTCAAGTTATTTGCAATCCCCATTTTGAACCTTATATCTATTGTAATAAAACTGAATCGTATATGTGGGATGAGCCGCCATATTTTTCTACTCTCATTGTCGTAAGCAACTATTGTTAAAAGTTATATAAAGAAAATCCTTCAACACTAATAACATGCTTTTACTTGCTTGTCCGTGTTAAAGACAAAACGCTTTAGTTCGTGCTTATTTTCTTTTGTATTTAAATTTAAAAGAATATCGACGTTAAATAAATTATTAAAAAAACAATTAAATTCATATTAATTCTATAAAAGAGTATAATTATAAATGATAACTTAAATTAATTTAATAAAACACTTAATAATGATATTGTCATATATAAAGATTTCAAAATAAACCAACAAAAAAGTCCACGCCGACCTTGTGGAGCAAGTTTTTTGGCAACGAATATTAACAAATATATTACGATATACACAAATTAATTATGTCAAATATATTAATAAAATTAAAATAAAAAAAATATTTTTTATTATTATATACAATATAATATGAAAAGAAAATTTAAAATTAATTATTACGAATGTTAACGAATTTCTAGAAAGAAAAATCCGTCCTCGCCCTAGTTAGGCAACTTCAATATTTTCCTACATTAAACAAGTAAACGGAAAATTCGTTATAAATGCTTAATAACTTAATAACTTTCATTACAATATAAAATTATTACAATTGAAATTATAAATAAATTAAGCATTAAGTAACATTTCAATGAATTTAAAAGTACATGTATACCATTATATTAAAACTTTCATCAATTAATACTTAAAATAATTCAATTAAACAAATTATGGTAACAGATTTAAAGATTACGCAACTGTGAGTATTATGTATGGTGAATGGCAATGGTGTTTTATTATAAAGCCTTCCATTTGTACGATGTCTTAACTTAACCAAAGAGGTCGTAATGTCACATAGAACTAAGTACTATTAAGGTACGGTTCCATGACCAATTACCAAAGTAAATAAATATATATTAAATATTTTAAGTACTGATACTTTTAATACGTATAATCCATACAAGTTATATTATATGCGTTCGACCTTGTTTTACAATATTTATGTCAATAATATGAAAATTAAAATATATTTAACTAATTTGTAATAATATATTCGATATTGGTTTTAAAAGTCGCATCAGTGAAACCGTACATTAAATCCTTGAGACACAATTTAATTGCGACTTCAAAATTATCCGCAGTCAAATGAAAATAAAACCATTCGCACGCATCGCGCTGCCAAAGATACACAGATATTAAACAAAATGACTAAATTATTAATAAACTTTTACAAATATTTAACTATTATTGTGTTGTGTGTTTGTTTGCAAGATACTCTACAACTGGTGCCATTACGTAAGATTAATTTAATATATATTTATATATCTTTATTGTATGTATATAATTTGTGAGTTCATTAAAATTAATAGAATTATTATAATCGGTGTGCATAAATAAATATGTTTGTTAAAAAAAATCAATATCTATTTATTAATATAAATCTACATTTATATTTATATATAATTAATAGGTGGATAATTTGATAAATAAATCTATATTTTAATACATATTAAATATAAATAAATAGATTATAGCTAGATTTAATTTAAATATTTATTGACATAATAATTTCCAGCCGATTTCATTCATCCGTGCGCTGAACTGACAGACGAATGTTATACTAAGGCGACGTTAGATGCTATCCCGGGGATAGTGAAGGGAATCCCGGAGGCCGGGATCCCATCCCTGGATCCACTATACCTGGATAAGAACATCACTATGAATCTCCCCGGGAACGTAAAGATGACATTCCACAACGGAAAGCTTTCTGGCTTGAGTACTTGTATACCTGATAAAGTTTCGTAAGTAATATATATTAAACTAGTTTTTGCCCGCGACTTCGTCCGCGTTAATGTCGTAATTTGTAATATACGTATAGCTCACTGGACGAACTCTTTGTGCTAGAGTCCATAAATAACCAGATATTTGAATTTATTAAGTTGTTTTGGATCGAACAGAATTAAATATCGAATGTCCGTCTCCTGGTTCTAAGTTATACCTCCACTAATTTTCAAACATATCCCTACAGCCATTCTTTACTTATAAATAGTGTAACTAACACAACTTTCTTATATATATGGATTATAATTAAATTTATTTATAAATATACATAATGCAACAGTAAATAATATCAAGTACTCGCTGTGTCGTAACCAGTACTATCATTCATATGCCTATACTATCCTATGAAGCAAAGTTTCATAACACTTTGCTCAGTACGTCTACTTAAGGTTCACTTCGTCACACTATAGAGAGAGTTAATAGTTTTCATTCATAAATCTTCGCATATTAATAAAATTAACGTAGTTTAGTCAATGAGAAATCGAAATTAGTATGTAGTATTCAATATTGTTCTTCTTCTTCTACCTGGCAATTTCCCAGCTATAGCCAGGGTCTGCCTTACATGTTGTGAATAGTTGTGGCTATTTGTTTATACGACCGGCCGCCTGACTGACATCAAACCTCTTTTGGGAATCAGCATTAATTAGTATGTAGTATTCAGTATTATTTGTGTGAAACACCAATAGGTTGCATTGTTATAAATCTACGAGTGTGAAAACGTGATTGTTTTTGTACTTTGATACTATGTGTTTTGCTTGACAATGCAACCAAATTGTAAGGGTATATAGTATTTCTAGTCCTTCCCCAAACTTTTTGTTATCCTTTTAAATTATCCGGATTATAATTTAAAAAGTGTAAGGTAAAAAAAAAATCATTAGAATTTTCATTTTTTAGTTTTGCTTCTATTAATAATTTAAATAATATTTCATTTGTAACAAAAAAAATAATTTCAGATAATGCAAATCGATCCACCATTTTGATTTTATTTTAAGTTCATCGTACTCTATAATTAAACGACTTACATCTCCGATTATTTTGATTATTAAACCACAAGTTTTTCGTATTTTACACTCTCATTAACATATTTTTTTATTATTGTCCATATTCAAAAATATTATGAAGTTTAAAACTTAGTTATATTTATAATGACTATGATAACTATCTTTTTATATCCATGATATCTATAAAACTTGCACATTCTAAAACCTAAAAAAAAACAGCAAAGAGTCTTTAATACTGTTTTATTACTGGCCAGCTACATAGTTGACAGTTTATTTCAAATATTTTAACACTTTTAAAACTTCATAATTTTTGTTATTAATACAATAAATACTTAAAATAATGCTCTTAACTTAGTAAATTTATAATATTTACATTTATACAATAACAATTTTTTCTATATAATTACGTATCTCATTTTGAGGGTTTTTAAGTAACTTGTATACAAATGATGCATAATATATAATATTTATTGATGTTCCTTTAAGTCAAAATTATAAACATGTTAATAAAAACAAAAAAAAATACTTCTTTCATACAAACAAAAGTTATATTTTTCTGCCTCTAAACTCCAGATTACATGTTAACATACATAATAATTTAATTATATGTAAATTTGAGTTCAAATAAGACAGACATCTTAATTAGTGATAATAATAAAATCTTGAGGCAATTATGAATACAAATATATGTATATGTGATTTAATTTTTCAATTAGATTAAAAATATTTCCGCGTACACGGTAATATTAAAAGCTATAAGAAAATCTTTACTAAAATAGAATTATAAGAATTAATTATTAAAAAAATATATATTTTATAAGCATACATATCATTTTATTTTAATTAGAAGTTTTTATCGTAGTTAATTAATTATAATTCTTGATTATTATTTTACATTTAAATAAGATACTTCTGTTAAAAAAAGTAAAATTTGTATATAAATTAATTGCATATCATAACTATAATGTCTTGATACAAGAAAATCAAACATTTGCAAACCTCCAAATGTTTAATTTAAACGACTACATAATGACAATATTTAAATATTTTATGAGCCTTAAATATAAACATGGGTATACATACACTATAAAAGAGCAATATTACGAATTAACATATATTTCATTTGATAATTGTTATTTAACGATAGACGTAATGTTTACCTTTTAGTGAATATATTCTATTACTGGCAACACCATAATATATGCATGTTTTTTTAACTTTAAATAGGTTTAAAAACAAATCTCGTGAAAACAAACTAACTGATACCACTAAAATGAGATGTTACTTTTAAATAAAAATAAAATTTATTTCCACATTATTAATTAACGAGCATTTTCAAATTCTGTTTAATTTTTTATAAATAAACTCATTCAAAACAAACTCTATATATAGGCTGAGAATATAAAAATAAACGTTGATTTTTTTTACAAATATTATAAATATAATTGTACAAATAAAATTAACATTATTATATTTGAAAATAAAAACTATGTTAAGAAGTATGTACTTTCAGCCAAAATGATAATTTAATAACATTTCTTTACAGATCTGTCCGTGAAAAAAGAACATTCATATTTGATATTCACTGCAATTTCACAATAAAGGGACACTACGCTATTGTTGGTAGAATTCTCTTGTTTAATCTGGATACCGATGGTCACGCCAAAATTAAAATCTGTAAGTCACCATAAATTAAAAATAATTAAATAAAAACAGCTTTTAATATTACAATCAAATTTCAATATCTTGGTATTGCTAAACACAATACGAAAAAATCAATTTCGTAAATTTCGCCGCCATTTTGTACGCCCTTCATAAACGTCAATATAAACAGTTAACATATTAAACGTCAAAATTATATTTAAACTACTTGAGTTTCACGTTGCGTGAGCGAGCGATTGCATATAACAAAATGATTACCGATCGCAGATTCAACCTGTAATTCGATTTACCCTGACATCATTTTCTGACAGTGTTTCTATTTAATGCTTCAATATTAATTACCATTAAGCGAAAATCTTATAATAATCTGTTATATTAAAGGGAACCAACATATCAGACTGGAAGTGTTCGAGAAAGTTGTGAAGGATGCTAATGGAGAAGGTCACTACAAGATAAACTCCTACAAATACAAAGCAGATTACGGCACAGATTTAAAACTTAACCTAACCAACCTCTTTAGAGGAAGTCCCGCCATTAGTAAGTTGTCAAGGACTTGTAATAACATAATATTAGTAATAGTTTCTTTGATATAACTGTATATTATTATTTATACTAATATACAGTTATATAGAAATACCTTGACTTATATAGGGAAACATTTACTTTGATAATATTATTTGTGATTTGTAACCTCATTTTTTAATATTATTTTTGATATATAACCTCTTTTTTCTTACAGGTGCGAACATTTTAGAAGTTCTTAATTCAAATTCTCAGCTTGTGGCCCAAGAATTCGGGGGACCGATACTAGACTACGCTATAGATTACGCTATGAATGTGACTCAGAGATTCTTCAGTACGTACACTTACGACCAGATTAGCAAGGTCCCTCTCCCAGAGGAATTTTTTGAGAAACAATAGGTCCAGATTTCTGGTCATCAAATTCCACTCAAGTTAAAACAGTATTTAATTTTTAAACTTAGTATAAGGATTGAGGGATTTGTAATATTGAAATTATTTTGGCATAATGTTGTGAAAATTAGCATTCATATTGAAAAAGTGCATTTTAAAGTGTTCAATTTTTATAAATAGTATTAACTATACTTGTTGGCATAAACTGCAGTTTAAACTCGAAAAATATACGAAATAATGCCAACGACCAGCAATTCTCAATATTGACGCAACACATGACATAACAAGAGTTGCGTGTCCAATGATGTATAAAGGTTTTATATGAATGCGGCCGAAATATATTTTATATATGGTAATAAATTGCAATATTACGTCATTATTGACAGTAAGCTTCACCGATTTTAAATAATATTGATTGTTGATTTATTAAAAATAATTATTTTTATTATTGTTATGTTTATTGTTTAATTTCAAACGAAATCACTCAACATATTTTCTATCGTATCGTTTGTTTTTTTATTTAAAAGTCACAAGCCTTGAATATGTAGGTTTTTTTTTTTTTTTTTTTTTTTTTAATCTTTATTTAAGGACTTGTTTACAGAAGAGAAACATGTCGTCCTGTTTGGACAACTTACATAAATCTTAACAACTATACATATAGTCTTATATCATAAACAATAATAATTGCAACAAAAACTAATCTATATAAAAACAAACAAAATTGAGATGAAAAAAAAAAGAAAAACCCTAATTTTACAAATAATACTGAAAACAACCACACCTAAATATCCCTGTTTCTTAGCCCCTCTCTCACTAATGAATAAATCTTCATAGCAGAAGTTGAGAAGGGACAACTTAGCATACTATTACATACACCAACATTCATCTCATCATTAGAAAGTAAATATTTTCTTAGAGTTTCATTTCGGACACATTCCATCACAATATGATAAATGTCTTCTTTCTTTCCACACGCATCACAAAGGGGAGAAGTAGCCTTCTTGATGAGGAATGCAAAATAATTTAATGGGATATGACCTGAACGAATTCTAAAAGCTAACACAAGGGTCTTTCTGTTAAGGTAATACGACTCAAACCAGGGAAAACGAAATGGACAAGGACAAAAAGTCCTGTACCAAATTCCTTTTACCTCTGAAATTTTGTTAAAGTGTTGTAAAACCAGTTCATGAATATGATTTTTTAAAATTGGAACTAAATCAGAAAAGAAGGGGGAAATACTAAGAGAAAATCCATCCAAACTCGCTTCTTTTGCTAACTTATCCACTAAATCATTATCTGGAATTCCGACATGAGATGGAATCCATTGAAATATAATGTCTTTATTGCAGCTCCTTAACAACAAAATTGCCTTCAATATACTATAAGCTATCGGAACGCCTCGAAAATTCGAGGTGCACCGAGCTAAATGTTGAAGAGCACTTCTGGCGTCCGTTAAAATTACAAATTTTCTACAGTTAATTTTTTTAATATAGGATAATGCTTCGGCTATAGCGAACAGTTCGACATACATTATGGATACATTGGTTTCAATTTTAAACTTAATCTTATTACTTAATTGTGGGTCTAAAATAGCTGCCCCCGAGCCGTAAGTGCCTTTTGATCCGTCAGTATAAATTTTATAATAATCCTCATATTTTGAATATATTATCTCTAAGCACCTGAATCTAAAGTTAGCTACCTCAATATCTTTTTTGCATTTACTAACACCATCAATAAAAAAATATATATTTTCTTCTACATTAATATTTTGAACCCACGTATCAAGACTAAACATTTCTAATTTACTTGAGGATTGAATAGGAAAATCATTAAAAAAACTATATATGTTAACTAATAAAGGTTTCTTTTTAGCATACCAATATCCAGGTCTTGTAGATTGAGAATGTAAAAGATTAATTAACTCAATGTTTCTATTATTTCTAACGGACCGACATCTTAACCAAAATTTTCCTCCTAAAAATTGTCTACGAAGAAATAAGGGATGCAAACAAAGTTCATTTTCCATAACATGGACTGGTGTTGTTTTTATGAAACCGCCAATAACACGCATACTTTGGTTTTGTACCTTGTCAAGTTTGTATAAATTTGTTTTAGAGCTGGAATCATAAAGAAAACACCCATAATCAATACGACTCCTTATCATGGAAATGTATAACCTTCTTAGATGTTTAGGGTGAACGCCCCATTCTGGGCCAGCTAATATTTTAAAAATATTCAAATATCTCTGGGTTTTATTCACAAGTTCATTTATGTGCCTTGTCCATTTTAGATTACTATCAATCCAAAGACCTAAATATCTGACGCAATCTACTATTTCAATCCGAATTCCGTTTATCTTTATATCGATATTTACAGGTAATTTATTCTTTCCTTTTCTAAATAAACACACCTTAGTCTTCTTTTCAGAGAAATTTAATCCTAAAGATTCTATTAGCTTTGTTATTTTGTTTAGTGCTGATTGTAACTTTCGTGAGCCCTCTTCTAAAGACTTATAAGACTCATATATAACAAAATCGTCAGCATATTGAGAAATACACACATCATTTATTTCTCTGCAAATGAACATGGTTGCTGTATTAAATAATAAAGGGGACAGGGGATCTCCCTGGGCCAGCCCACGACTTGTGTTTCTGATTAAAGAACGGTTATCTAGAAATCGCAAACTTAATTCCCTACTCTTCATAAATTCCCACAAATAGGTACAAATTTTAGATCCCACTCCAACATTATCTAATTTGTTTAACAGAATTGTAATATCAATATTATTATATGCACTCTCAATATCCAAAAAACACCCTAAAGTAATCATGTTGTTTCCAAACCCTAATTGTATATGCGAGACCAAACTAGTCAAACTATCTAGACAAGAGTGAGCTTTTCTAAACCCTGATGTACATCTGGAGAAGCACTGTAAATTTTCAAAATACCATTCTAAACGATTTTTTAACATTGTGTGGAAGATTTTACAAGGACAGGAGAGGAGAGCAATAGGTCTCACATCATTAGACGTTTGCGAAGAATTACCAGACTTGGGAATAGGGACTATTACGGTTTTCCTCCACTGACTAGGTACAAAACCAGAAGAAGTAAGAAACATGTTATAGATTTTAATCAATATTTGTTTCCCGTTTAAGGGTAGATAGTTTATCATAGAAAATGAAATGGAGTCATCGCCCGGAGATGTATCTTTATTTTTAATAGCACAGTTTAGTTCATGTAACGTAAAAAACTTTTCTAGGGACTGGTTACTCGAGTTAAAGGAAGGTCGATTTTGTAAAACAAAGTCTGGAGATAGGCTGCGTAAGAATTTATCAGCAGAAGCATTATCAAGGTTAAGGCCTGGCAAACGGTACCCTTTCAACCATCGCATTTGACGACACATTTCGTTAAGGGAAACAGCTCCACTAACACTACTACAAAACTTTTTCCAAGCGTCTTTTTTAGCTTTACGAATAAGACTGCGTGTCATCCTGATCTTTTCTTGAAGAATATCTAAATTATGAGGCGTGGGATTTTTCCTAAAGATAGATAAAGCAAGTCTTCGTTCTGCTATTGAGCGTGAAATATCAACAGACCAGTATGGCTTAGGGGAAAACTTTTTTAAAAGTAAAGGATCTTGGCAAATCCTCACTAAAGGTATATATATATTAGCGGCAGAATCAATAGCGTCAATGAATTGATTATATGCATCTTGAGGATTCATTGCTAGGGTTAGACTCGAAAAAACGTTGTGAAGGTAGCTTGTATAACCATTCCAATTAGCTTTCTTAAAATTCCTTTTATTTTTACTGAAATTATTATTTTGATTACAATTATTATTCAAGGTATATTTAATTAGAAGATGGTCACTTCCTAACGTTTCATTTGATATGTTCCATTTAAACTGTAAGGAGATATCACTTGTTACCAAAGTAATATCAGGAGAAGATTTTTGAATCGAACCATTAACCATTTTAATGCGAGTTGGAGAGCTGTCATTTAAAGTTATATAATTTTTATCAAAAATTGCGTCATAAATCTGTCTACCTCTTACATCTGTCTTATACGACCAATTAGTATGGTGGGCATTAAAATCACCAGCAACCAAAGTTTTATTACTGCATAAACTAAAAATATATTCCCAATCACTTACTGATGTTTGCACAGACGATGGGCAGTAAATAGCAAAGATGTTTTCTACATGAAAACAGTTTAATATTTTCAGGTGTAAAAGTTCAATCCCCGGGTTCGAACTCTGAATTTGAGATACTTGATATTTAATTGAAAAATGAATCAAAATTGCTACTCCTCCAAATCCATCATCCCTATCTTTGCGAAATATATTATAACCTGACATTCTTAAATTAACACAGGAACTTAACCACGTTTCACTTAATATAGCGATATGGATTTTCTCTTGAGAAAGATACATTTCCAGGTCTGATAGCTTAGGGCGTAAACTTTGGCAATTCCATTGAATTATATTAATCCAACGAAAACGATCATTATCCATTTGTAAATATATCATTAAAATTAGACCACCCTGATATATATTCTGCGATTGAATCCATAAACCAGTTGTACAAAGTTTTTATACAGAGATTTAATTTTTTGGCGAAATTGATCTTTGTCATAAATATTATGTCTTTTATTTTGTTTAAAAGTTGTTTTATATTAAATTTGTTATGTTTATCCCTTTTTTGTGTATGCAAATCCTCTCGCGTTGGTTCCTCCACATCAATATCACTATCAAAACCTAAAATATTTTCCTCCTCCGATAAATTTTTTTCCTCGTCATTCACTATTTTTCTTTTTCTCTTCCTTTTCGATTTATCTACAGATGAATCAACGTGCATATCTGTATGTTTTTTCCACATTTATTTCGGTTGTAGTTTTTAACACTTCTGCATAAGTAAGGTTATTTTCTGGTTGAGTAGTTCTGTGAAGTGTGTAGTCGAGAAAAGAATCATCTTGGTTACCCTCATGTTGAGGAGAAGGTTGTACATACATTGTAAGGGCCCTTTTATATGTACAATTAAATTCGGCCATCAATTCTCTTATCTTCCTTTCTTTTTTGTAAATAGGACAGATCTTAGATAATGCCATATGACGACCTTTACAATTTACACATTTAAAATTTGTGCTTTCACAATTATTATGATTTTGGCCACATTTAGGGCATACAATTTTATTTTGTGAGCATTCTTTATAATTATGTCCAAAACGCCAGCATTTTGAGCACTGTGTGACGGGGAACACGAAAGCGTCTACTTTTATACGTGTCCCATAAGTATAAATGTATGGTGGTAAGGACGATCCCTTAAAACATAATCTTACACATTCACTATCTTCAAAACCCCCATTTTCAAAATTACGTCTTTTTAAACGCTTAACACCTAAGATCGGAATAGCACTTTCTAGACATTGAAGGATATCCGATTCGTTCATATCTAAATCGATGTTTCTTATTACTCCATAAGAAACACCTACTTCATAAGCTTTTTGACATCTATATTCTTTGTCAATGAAATATTGACATTGTATAAGTTTTTCTGCACTATCATTATTACTAAACTTTAACATCACTTTGTATGAATTTATATATTTTATTCTAATAATATCCAATATATTTTCATGCTTGAGGATGCGGGCTAACGCTATTTGCTTCGGTAACTTCTCACTTTTACATGTCATACTAACTTCAACTTGTTCCTCAGGTATTCTAGTAATTCCATTAGGGGAGGTACCGAGTGCTATTACTTTTCCCTTTCTTCCTACTTCTGTCCAAACTTCTTCATCATCAATAACTCGACCTCTCTTCTCTGCACGATTATTTTCCATCCTCTCAAACAATAATGAACTGTTATTGTTGTTATTAAACTCATTAATCTCCTCTAACATAACATTTTCATCACTACCCTCGTCTATTTGTAAAGAATGTAACTCATTAGTCATTGTCACTTTGTAAACAATTCATTTCAATAAAACGATTAACTAATGCGCGCGTGCTTTGACTGATCAGATTCCGAACGACCGTCAACAACGAACGAACGCAAACAACTGAATATGTAGGTTAAGACGGAATGTAAATATCATTTCCAGAACATTCGTCTTGAACCAGTACTTCGATTTCTTAAGTTATATGACAAACGACTTTATTACTTAAACATTTCACATTTACGTCGCTCATTTTATTTATTGATAATTTTTTTTATGAAACATTATACTTTTACTTTATAATTTTTATTGTAAAATATATTAATATAAATTTCGCACACAGTAATCAGAATAAACAGAAATAAGTTTTAAAAAATGTACTATAGATGTTACCAAAATTAAATTTATTATCTATGTTTTTTTATGTCACAATGATGTGAAATTTAGACTCTATGGTTTTAACATTCTATATTTGAAAATGATAAAACAAAAATCTGTTGTCATACATCTAGCTGAAACAAATACCTTTATAATTGGTAGAAGTTTGCTTTTACTTCAAACTACCAAAACAAAACATTGTTTCTATAATTTTAGCTCAAGTTGACTTTTTTTTATTCAAAACGTTTCGAAAAGTATTTTATGACATGAAAATGCCAAACGCTTTCAATAAAGGAAAGAAAATACTACAAATAAATAAAATGACATATATATATATATACATCGAATAAATAAACTATAGGGAATATGAAATTTTCGAAATTATAGGTTACGTGCTTATAACTAACTTTTGATATGATATTTAAAATTTTATAGTGAAATTTCATTAAAGAAAATTATGGAGTTTAGACTTTAGTATATAATTTATTTAACTGTTTTCATGCATAGTTACGTAAGACGCTGCTTAATAAAATGCAGCGGTTACTCAAATCAAATGAAATTAGCGATCACTGTACCATAGACATGAAGAAGACATTTAGACAAATTGAAAACAAGCAATGAATTATTATTAGACCAATTCTTAAGAGGTTATTTCTTATTTTATTTTTGTTTCTAAAATATAAATAATACAATAAAAATATGTATTTTTATAATGAAAAATGAATGAGATTTCAATTAATTAATATTAAGATATTTATTATGTATTTATTTTTTAATGTTATTTAAGAATGAGATAATAATTTTAATTTGTCCGTTATTGAACTTAATAAGGAAAGCTTTAAAATTTAAAAAGTTTAGAATTCAGTTTTTTTTCTTGTCGCTAACGTATTAGTTCAGTTTTCATAATTTAGTTTCTGAATTCATTACTGAATTTTAAACTATACAACCTTCGTGCCACAAAAGCATCGACATTTTGTTTGTTCTAGTCTACGTATTTTACTTTTTTCAAATTCAAAAATGGAACGTTTATTAAGTTTAATAACAAGATCCATTTCCGTTCGGAAAGCAATCACTATCTGTCAACGCGGTCACGCGATCCGGCTACATCGTCTGAAAACTTTTGATTGTCTATATTTTATGAGTCCGCATATAACTCTTGATGTAAACGAACTCCAAATAGGTTCTCAGGTTACCTAAACCTAAACGGATAAATAAAATATTATTATAGCTTTACATAAATAGTTTGAAAGTTAATCATGTTGTAATCGAGAAAAATTACTGTATGAAAAAGAAAATAATTGTTTGACATATAAGTCTTAGTTGAAAGAATATCCATAGACAATATATAATTTAAAATGTAGCAATGAAATTGAAATATTAAGTATAACATCATAGTCACAACTTTCATATATTTGTATATTAACAATAACAATAAACATAAATTATTCATTTCTAATTAACTAATTAAGCAATGTTTATTAGCCCGAGCCAAACCATGTTTGAAATTTGACGTTGTTCTACACTCACATACAAAACTTGGAATCTTTAATAAATATTATTAGGATATAAAAGTATAAAAAATCATTTTATTTCTACTTTTTTGTGATTCCAAAGCTATCATCTCTTATTCCTCCCTTGGATGACAACAGTATTGAATAAAACAAAAACCTTCTTTCTCTCTAGAAACTCTTTTATTAGGTACCTATTTGTCTTAAACCAAATATTTCCACTTTTTATTCTTAAATAAAATTGTTCCTTTAACTTAGCAACACATTTTGGAACGAAAAAGTTTGTATATATAAAAATAAAGCATATATAGAGTAAAAAATAACTAGTTAATATTTTTTATCTGTATTTTTCCGTTCTGTACTACATCAAGCTCCGTATTGATCTGAGCTCACTATAAACATTGTAATAATTGAAGACTGTTTGTTTGCGCCGGTAATGGGAAATCCATAGCCATACATGAATAAAACGATGGTTTTATTCCGCTCTGATTTTTACTTGTTCGCTTCAAATTGTATGAACGAGGTATAATAGGTATATACGTATTTTTTATCATTAACTTGTCAAGAAAAATATACGTAATTTTGTATTGAGGAGACTTATATTTCGTGTTTGGATTCTGTACCGATAAAAAAAAAATTAAAAGAGAAATGTGTTTTTTGTTTAGTCTATTATGTTAAAAAATAGTAAATCTATGAGTTATACTTGAAAAGATAAACTAGAATCAAAATAACTTCATATTTAAATACAAACAAGAGGCGTTAAACCCAAATTTACTATACAGGGTGACTGGTGAATTACTATCGATACTTGAGGACGTGATATTTGACGATCATATATGACAAAATAAAAATTAATATAACATAAATATTAATAAACTTCTAAGTAAAGTTAACCAAAAGTTATGTAATTAATTACGCATCGTGTGAACACCCTACAGATTAGGTATACACACACACACACACACACACGCGCGCGCGCGTGCGGCGGCGTGGTGTTGTATCAGCACGCCGCCGCACGCGTCCACACTTGGAACACTTGGAACGTGTCCACACTTTATTTATACGGAAATTTGGTCAAAAATTAAGTACCTATTTTTTTTACATAATTCGAATGAGAATCATGTACCGAGTATTCTCCTTAAATATTGATAGTAATTCACCAGTCACCCTGTATATACATATTTTAATACGACAAAAATTTTGGATACTAATTTTAAATAAATATATATTCTTTTGTAAACTACAGATGATCTTTATTTCATTAACTATCATCGCTTACGCGTATCTCGTGTTTTATAATATATCATCTAAACATCTCTTCACCCCTCATCCATGAGACATCTTGCTCCCCATCGGAAGTATCACTCAATCTCTGGAACACTTAAACCTTCAAGGTAAAAAAGCTTAAGCGTTTTAAGCCGAGAATCATTCTAGAACGTGCATCTTCACATTTATAAAGAATATATCATTTATACTTATATTATGACGTTATTTTAATTTTATTTTCTTATCAATTTAATATTTGTGTTAAATAGTGTTTTTTTTTATTCGGCAAAGAAATATGTAGTTTGGAAAAATGTCAAAATGACATGACATAAGGACTCCTATGAAAAAAATCTGACAGTGAATATATAAGAAGTTACTTATAATCGACTTAACGTTCGTAGAATGTTCTAGTAAAAAGCGTATACAGAATTACTATACTTTAGATAAGAATTTTCTTGTAAGCTATACCGATTCTAATGAAAATAAAAAACCTACATACTTACCTAAATCACAATAATATTAGTTTTACAATAGTTGATATAAACAAATAAGTTGATAACTAAATAAAAATATTACAATGTATATTTTTTTAGTATTTCATATTAAATTCTATAGAATAAAATGATACGAAACAACAATTGTATTGTTAACGGAAAATGATTGTGTCACGACGTTAGCAGTCTTCAATAAATTACGGAAGCCATATTTGATCTAGATATTATTCTTAAGGAATGTCGGAAAATAAATTATAGTTGTACGGAAATGGTACAATTTGAGTAAATTCTATTTCCGTAGTAATGGATACTTTGTCATAACAAAATCATCACGTAAATGAAATACACGTTTTCGCGCTATTTCCGTACGAGGGGTGCAATTGGATACGGTTTTTTAGATCATTTTTTTTCAACTAAAAAACTTAGGGTAAGGATACACTTATCTTTCGCAAGAACGATATGTTATCACTTACACGTCTGAGCTTCTCAATCTTTGTATTTATTTTTTATTTTATTACATACTCAGTTCAAAAAAAATTAACTCGTTCAATCTTTATAACCTCATTGGTTAAATTTCTTTTATTAAATAAATATATTAAAAATATCAGACTCTTATAATATATTGAATGCAAAATTTTTCATGCAAACTTTAATAATATAAGCGAATATTTGTTCTTATTTATCCATTTCAATTCAATTTGATATTATTCCCAAATCTTATGTACTTGTAAATAAAAAATATATTCTTACATAGTAGTTAACACATAAGTTCTAAGATGAATCTTTGAGAAACTTCAGTATCACGAGCCCCACTGACATCTTCGCTAGCTTGTAAAGACATCCGTCATTCTACACTTTAGATTTACCTACCCTCGTTTCTTTAAACGCTACTTAAGGAAGCCAATTATAAAAAGAGCCCTCTCAAATAATACCACTATAATAATAACATAGGAAATGAAGAATTCAACAGTTCAAGTTATGATAGTCGGATTTTTATGTCTAACACGTCATTTCCTATAAAAATAAATAAAACGTGTGGAGCCTAATATGAAATAATGTGTATTTTAAACAAAGAACTTAAGCTTTATTATGGAGAATTAAGGATAATTTTAGTCTTAATAACAACTTCGACAAAAACTATATATACATATTATGTAAAAGAAGTTTATAAGGCAAAAACAGACTTAATTCAAAAACCGTAAAATGATTTACTTCTGACATTGGCATTACAAAGTGAACATACTAATGTGTTAACACGTTGGAGGAATTCAATGAAAAAAAAAATTAGCTGTTGCTCTATGAGAGGGTTTGTGATCTATGGTGTAGTCACAAATGGGGCTGTTATGATGTATGGTCGCAAAAAATTGTGAAT